ATTAAAAGTGGGAGGAATAATACAATAAAAGAAAAACTGGATGCGTCTTGATCCGTTGCCATGTCTGAAGAAACTTTAACCGGTTTTCATCGGCTGCGTCAATCAACGAGTCCATTTTAAGGCCGAATTAGGGGACTCACTCGGACTGCACTACACTTATTCACTCGGTGCGATTGTCTTGGTTGAGAGTGAATACACTTGTAGATGAGGGGTGTAGGTAGCCCTGTGCTCACCTAGTTGTGCTTGCGGGGGTTGAGCTCTGGCTCTTTGGTCCCGCCTCTCAACCGTCAATCAACAGGTGTACAGGTTCTTGTATATGGGTATGAGTGTGTTATGTGTCCAATATTACTGCGGCGCTGGAGGAGACTGTGTGTTCTTAACATGTCACAGTGAGCGAGAAAGTGGTTTACTAAGAACTGTGACGGAGAAAGTGGTTTACTAAGAGCTGTGACGGAGAAAGTGGTTTACTAAGAGCCGTGAGGGAGAAAGGTTTACTAAGAGCTGGAAGTGTAAACCTGTTCTCGACGGGTCTACCCTTCAAGACATGTATAGAGAACAGTTGAATAACATAGGTAAAGTTTCTCCAGTGTAGCGACGGTCTCGCTTCATGCAGGTCGGCGCTCAATCCCTGACTGTCCTATAGTGTTTGGCCACCATTCCTTCCCCCCGTCCCATCCCAAATCCTTATCCTCATCCCATAGCGCTTTCTCCTGATAATTACCTTACCTTGTAGAACCCTGTTCTTGCTGGATGGTGTTCTTGTACTCCCCAACCCCGCCCCGGAGCCTTGTGAGAGCTTGGTCCAACAGGCTGTTGCTTGGAGCGGCCCCGCTCGGAGCCTTGTGAGAGCTTGGTCCAACAGGCTGTTGCTTGGAGCGGCCCGCAGGCCCACATACCCTTATTGGAGTGTTGAGGGAGGGACAATGCGAGCCAATACCTACATATCTCGGGGCTATGTAGCACCGCGAGATACATATAAGTCACATATTAGTCGGGAGATAGAACATAGAAGGTACAGGTGGTAATTCTTTCATGGAGAAACTCACTACACTGGCATACAGTATATATATATATATATATATATATATATATATATATATATATATATATATATATATATATATATATATATATATATATAGATATTATATATATACAGTGGTGTGAGAACATTGTATACAGTACCTTGGTAAGAATGTTTTAATACATGTATACATATAATGAGTCTTTCCTTCGCCTTCATTCTCCGAATTGCTTGAGAAAACAACAGCGTCTCCGAGCAACCTGTCCTCACACTTAATGCTCCCCTGTTTCCAAAGCTCTGGACCAAAACGTTAAAATTCCGGTGTTTTGGGGAAATTAAAAGCGTGGTGATATTGACGTGTTATGGGACGCTGGGAGGGGGGTGGGGGATGGGGCGTGCCAGAGAGGGGGGGATGGGGGGTGCCAGAGAGGGGGGGATGGGGCGTGCCAGAGAGGGGGGTGGGGGATGAGGCGTGCCAGAGAGGGGGGGGATGGGGCGTGCCAGAGAGGGGGGAATGGGGCGTGCCAGAGAGAGGGGTGGGGGATGGGGCGTGCCAGAGAAGGGGGGATGGGGGCGTGCCAGAGAGGAGTGGGATGGGGGGTGTGCCAGAGAGAGGGGAGATGGGGCGTGCCAGAGAGGGGGGAGGGGGCGTGCCAGAGAGGGGGGGATGTGGGCGTGCCAGGGAGGGGGGGGATGGGGGCGTGCCAGAGAGGGGGGGATGGGGGCGTGCCAGGGAGGGGGGGGGATGGGGGTGCCAGAGAGGGGGGGTTAGGGTAAATAATTTATATATTATTTAAGAGGTTTTGATGTTCCTTGTTCTAATGGTTTAGCACCAGGTGGGGTGGGAGGGGGGGGGGTAGGCCTACTGTGAAGGTGCCAGAGAGTAAGTGTTGAGTGTGGTGATCCCCCACACGATGGCACTATAGGCACTACCAGTTTATTGATAGTTGAGAGGCGGGACCAAAGAGCCAGAGCAGAGGATCTCGGTCAGCTGGTGGTAAACTGGTGGTTGTTTACCGTCAGCTGGTGGTAAACTGGTGGTGGTTTACCGTCAGCTGGTGGTAAACTGGTGGTGGTTTACCGTCAGCTGTGGTAAACTGGTGGTGGTCTACCGTCAGCTGTGGTAAACTGGTGGTGGTTTACCGTCAGCTGTGGTAAACTGGTGGTGGTTTACCGTCAGCTGTGGTAAACTGGTGGTGGTTTACCGTCAACTGGTGGTAAACTGGTGGTGGTCTACCGTCAGCTGTGGTAAACTGGTGGTGGTCTACCGTCAACTGGTGGTAAACTGGTGGTGGTTTACCGTCAACTGGTGGCAAACTGGTGGTGGTCTACCGTCAGCTGTGGTAAACTGGTGGTGGTCTACCGTCAACTGGTGGTAAACTGGTGGTGGTCTACCGTCAGCTGTGGTAAACTGGTGGTGGTCTACCGTCAGCTGGTGGTAAACTGGTGGTGGTCTACCGTCAGCTGGTGGTAAACTGGTGGTGGTCTACCGTCAGCTGGTGGTAAACTGGTGGTGGTTTACCGTCAACTGGTGGTAAACTGATGGTGGTTTACCGTCAGCTGTGGTAAACTGGTGGTGGTTTACCGTCAACTGGTGGTAAACTGGTGGTGGTCTACCGTCAACTGGTGGTAAACTAGTGGTGGTTTACCGTCAGCTGGTTTAAGCCGATGGAGGCGATAGGTAGTTACATGTTAAGGAGTTTACATAGTCACAATGTGGACTGTTTACTACAATAACACAAGTAATGTACGATAAACACTGTATGTGTACTATTTGTGTCTGCAGAATCGAGCTATTAGCTCTTGGACCCCACCTTTCTAACTCATCTATTTTTTTTATTGTGGATACTACATATATTTCTATCACTTGCACGCACACGCATCACACACATGCCCAGGATACAGCCCGTAGCTGCTGTCTAACGCCCAGGTACTAGTCACTGTTAGGTGAACAGGGGCATCAGGATGAAAGAAACTCTGCCCATTGGGGTCTGCCTCGGCCGGGTCCCTTTGGAGTGCGACCCAGAGCGCTGTCCACTCAGCCACGAGGTTGTGTGTGTGTGTGTGTGTGTACTCACCTAGTTGTGCTTGCGGAGGTTGAGCTGCTTCTCCTTGGTCCCGCCTCTCGACTGTCAATCAACTGGTGTACAGGTTCCTGAGCCTACTGGGCTCTATCATATCTACATTTGAAACTGTGTATGGAGTCAGCCTCCACCACATCACTGCCAAATACATTCTACCTGTTAACTACTGACTGAAAAAAATCTTTCTAATATCTCTGTGGCTCATTTGGGTACTAAATTTCCGTCTTTGTCCCCCTTGTTTGTGTACCACCCATGCTACATAATTTTTGACTACCCCTGTCAATTCCTCTGAGAATTTTGTAGGTAATGATCATGTCTCCCGTAAATCGTCTATCTTCCTGGGACGTGAGGTTTAATTCTCGTAGCCTTTTCTTGTAACTCCGACCTCTCAGCTCTGGGACTAGTCTGGTGGCATACCTCTGAATCTTCTCTAACTTTTGTCTGGTGTTTAACTAGGTACGGACTCCAGAGTGAAGCTGCATACTCCAGAATTGGTCTGACATAGGTATTATACTAGGTTCTTTATTATACTAGGCAGTTCTCATGTTGGCCAATCTAGCATACGCCGCTGATGATATCCTGGTTCATCAGCGGATGATATCCTGGTTCATCAGCGGATCACACGCACATTGTGTGTGTGTGTGTGTGTGTGTGTGTGGTTGTGTAGAGTGCCGTGCATCAGACTGAAAGCATTATACCTCTATAATTCCCTATGTCGGGGGACAGGCATCCTGCGTATATATATATATATATATATATATATATATATATATATATATATATATATATATATATATATATATATATGTCGTACCTAGTAGCCAGAATGCACTTTTTGGCCTACTATGCAAGGTCCGATTTGCCTAATAAGCCAAGTTTTCCTGAATTAATATATTTTCTCTAATTTTTTTCTTATAAAATTATAAAGCTACCCATTTCATTATGTATGAGGTCAATTTTTTTTATTGGAGTTAAAATTAACGTAGATATATAACCGAGCCTAACCAACCCTACCTAACCTAACCTAATCTATCTTTATAGGTTAGGTTAGTTTAGGTAGCCGAAAAAGATAGGTTAGGTTAGGTTAGGTAGGTTAGGTAGTCGAAAAACAATTAGTTCATGAAAACTTGGCTTATTAGGCAAATCGGGCCTTGCATAGTAGGCTGAGAAATGCGTTCTGGCTACTAGGTACGACATATATATATATATATATATATATATATATATATATATATATATATATATATATATATATATATATATATATATATATATATATAGCTGTATACTTCAAATATTTTGTATTGAACGGGTATTGCTTTATTTCCTGCACACGTCCCGTCTGTATATTTTGGCTGTATGAATATACATGAATACATAACCAATACATCAAAGTCTGAACACCATTCAAATAATACCATTTTGTTCACATTATTCCCCATCAGTGATGAGGACTTTATTGAGGCTTCGACAAGTGAAGAATACACAACTTTATATTAACAATGAACTTGCCAGAAATCGACTATATATTTTTGCTTAAAAGTGATGCATAAATTTGCATTTTGAGTTTTGACTAGAGAACACGTTACTTCATGCTTATCAGATGAGTATATATATATATATATGTGTGTGTGTATATATAGTGTTAAACGATCACACACACACACACACACAGTTGATATCTTATATTGTTTATCTTCGTGACATTCTTCGTCGCCTTCTTGGCCCTCTGATACACTTATTTATATACAGTTCGGTATTTATTCTTAAATGTTATATTAGCAATGTTCTTTTTTTTGTGTGCGTGTGTGGCGGGGGTCGGGAGGTGTGTGTGTGTGTGTGTGTGTGTGTGTGTGTGTGTGTGTGTGTGTGTGCGTGTGCGTGTGCGTGTGCGTGTGCGTGTGTGGCGGGGGTCGGGAGTTGTTTGTGTAACTCGTGTGTGTGTGTGTGTGTGTGTGTGTGTGTGTGTGTGTGTGTGTGTGTGTGTGTGTGTGTGTGTGTGTGTGTGTGCGTGTGTGTGTTTGGTGTGTGTGTTTGTTTCTCAGGAGGAGTTAGAGGGGGTATTAAAGCAGGTTATATGATGTGAACTTATTAATAATATTCCTTACATTTCTCTAGAATACACCCAGTGGTGAAACTGGTGTGTGTGTGTGGGAAGCCAATGATGATGCATTGTTAATACTTAAGGCTTGATTTGCATGTCTGGCCTCGAGCCTCCCGCCCAGCGGCACTTCATATTCCTTCCAGAGCACCTAAGATGTCCACCATCACCAAACACATGAGTACGACCAGCAGGCGACGAGTTGATGGCTTCTGATGAGTTGTAGGGAGGAAAATGGCCTTCAGTTTGTAGTATTTAAGTATGCCTGTGACTTAATACTTAATCTCCTTGGCTTATAAGTATCCCTTAGACTTAGAATGAGTTGGGTATTGGTTTGCTGCCAGTGATTGGTCGAATGCATTCCGGTGGGGCATTGGGCCAGTCAGCAGTGATGTCGAAATACCCAGCTGGTGAGAGTGAAAGGGTACCTGACCTTTTTCACCGATTACTATTGGACAAGCCGCTGTGTTGACCTCGGGGCGTGGGCGTCGAAGCTGCTCGGGCGACGGGGGAGGCTGTTAGTGACCTAACAGCTGTTAGGCTGGAGAGGCTCTAGAATTTTGACGGAGACGCGAGCCGACGTATGGATGCCGGTGTTGGGGAAGGCGATGCGTCCGTTCTGTCGGAACTGGGAGTACTGGACCTCCCGGATGGTCTTGAAGGCGTGTCGAGCGAAGATCTTGGCCGAGAAGATGCCTGCGAAGAATAACAGGAGAATAACATAAGAAGGCGATGAGTCACAATAACGTGGCTGAAGCATGTTGACCAGACCACACACTAGAAATTGAAGGGACGACGACGTTTCGGTCCGTCCTGGATTGTCCGTCCTGGACAATCGACTTGAGAATGGTCCAGGACGGACCGAAACGTCGTCGTCCCTTCAATTTCTAGTGTGTGGTCTGGTCAACAATAACATAAGAACATTCAAGAAGAATAACATAAAGCAAACACCTGTGAGCGGGGGCTGACAGGTGTTCTGTGTTCTCTTAGCGGACAGCCACACACTCGTGAAGGATATCACAGGAATTTACTAATCATTAGTACAGGGAGTCAAGTTTGCAAACATGTTTCTCTGTACTTTGTAACATCATGTAAATCAAGACGGCCGTTTATGAGAACATTTTTGTCAACAAAGTTACTTTGAATGTTACAGATAATAATAGACCTTAGCTGTATACATTGAGCTCTGTTTGCATAGCAAAATTTCAATAATTAATTCCTAAACATTAACCAATAAACATTTAATGTTATTAATGAAACATACATATAAACTATTCCATTTCCTATCCGCCATCCTCTCCCCAACCACATGGACTGGACGGTAGAGCGAAGGTCTCGCTACATGCCAGGTCGGCGTTCAATCCCCGACCGTCCAAGTGGTTGGGGCACCATTCCTTCCCAACCGTCCCATCCCAAACCCTTATCCTGACCCCTTACCGGTGCTATATAGTAGTAACGGCTTGGTGCTTTCCCCTGATAATTCCTTCCTTCATCTACAAGGAGGGAGGAAGGAGTCTGCTCCTCCTTCATAGTAGAAAGAGCAGACTTGGATGCTTTGACAGTAGTATGTTATTTTGTTGTTTTAAATTTAGCTACCCAGAACGAAGTGTCCATGTAGCACGGTCTATGGTGAGCCCGTAAGTGACAGAAGTGATGCTAGAGGAGGAGGATGTACACTTACCTGTGGTCTCTGTGACGAGGCAGGTGAAGCCTTGAGTGCGGGCCACGTTGCAGCTCTGTTGGACCAGCATGGAGGCGATCCCGCGGCCTCCGTACGTCTTGTCCACATTCAGCAGCTCGAAGTTGAGGAACTGTGTACACACACACACACACACACACACAGACGCAAGTTAGAAGGATTGAACAAATCCACAAGGGCCGTGACGAGGATTCATGTATGGGATGCTCCCGGACGCAGGTTCGAATCCTCGTCACGGCCCTTGTGGATTTGTTCATTTGATGCATCACGTTAGTGTGATCACTGTGTGTGTTAGAAGCATTGCTTAAGTCTCAGAGGATGTACTCGCCTAGTTGTACTCGCTATGCTTGCGGGGGTTGAGCTTTGGCCCCCGCCTCTCAACTATCAATTAACCCTCCCAACTGTCAATCAACAGCTGTCAATATTGTGTGTGTTAATCTAATACATTGTGTGTGTTAATCTAATGTCTGGCCATTAGGGAAAGGTAAGATAATGGACTTGCGGTCAAGTCCATGTCCTGTATGCTTGTTTTAAAAGGTCTTCAGTACTTCAGTACTTGAATGTGTTCTTTAAAAGGCTAAAATGACTGAATTATAAATGTATCTGAATTCATTAACCCATTACACAAGTTTTGCAATTGAAAAAGTGCTCCAAGTATTGTACACATCGTCCAGTATTTGATGCCCTTTGGATTCGAGTGAATAATGTGCCATATATGACACATGTATGGCCCATGACACATGTTTCCTAACGCATGTATGCTGTCGAAATAATTATTAGGAGACACACTTTGTTTCACAAGAATATTTAGTACCTTGTGTGGGGTAGCTAACCTATTTTGGTACCTAACCTATTCCTTTAAGATGTATTTCATTGTCTCAAGAAACGGACTTGATGTGGTACCTTGTCAACGCTGTATTGGCCGAAAAAGTCAATGTCGCTGGCTAGTTGTGTGAGGAAGGAGATAATCTTGTACATCTTGGGGTCCTTGTGGGGGTCGATCCAGGCCAAGAAGTCGTCCGGTCCAGGAGCGTCGCCGCGCCTCTTAATGCTGTTAATGGCTACGCCCACCAGCCGCCCATTAGCCGTCTCGTCTATCGCCATTACCGACACCCCGTGGCTGATCTGTGGGGGTGGGGAGGTCTTCGGTCTTGAAGGGCAGGGATGGGGTAGATACACCGGGGTTGAAGGGCAGGGATGGGGTAGATATACCGGGGTTGAAGGGCAGGGATGGGGTAGATACACCGGGGTTGAAGAGCAGGGATGGGGTAGATACACCGGGGTTGAAGAGCAGGGATGGGGTAGATACACCGGGATTGAAGGGCAGGAATGGGGTAGATACACCGGGATTGAAGAGCAGGGATGGGGTAGATGCACCGGGATTGAAGGATAGGGAAGAGGGGCATACCCCACATCATTGAAGGACAGGGAAGAATGCAGGTCGGAAAACAGGATGTGGCTATATGCCAAAGAGCTGGATAGTTATTAGGGATGCAGGAGGAAAATGCTGTATTCCGTTTAAGGCCTCGTATGTGAAGAGGTATTAAACAGAATTGAAATAATGCGGATTGCTAAAACCAGGACAAATATAGAACTAAGGGTACATGGCTGTTACTGTGAGTAAATAGGAAGGTAACTATTATGAAAAGCTGTGAAAGAATTGAGAGAGGGAGAGGTTCTAAACAGGCAGTCCCAGAATATTCTGAGTTTCCATGTTCTGTAGCTCGTGGCAAGGCTTAAGGCTTGCTGAAACTCCAGCAGAGGTTACTATGATAGCAGCAAAGGTTACTATGATAGCAGCAAAGGTTTCTCTGATAGCAGCAAAGGTTTCTCTGATGGCAGCAAAGGTTTCTCTGATAGCAGCAAAGGTTTCTCTGATAGCAGCAAAGGTTTCTCTGATAGCAGCAAAGGTTTCTCTGATAGCAGCAAAGGTTTCTCTGATAGCAGCAAAGGTTTCTCTGATAGCAGCAAAGGTTTCTCTGATAGCAGCAAAGGTTTCTCTGATAGCAGCAAAGGTTACTCTGATAGCAGCAAAGGTTACTCTGACAGGTGCCTGGTGATGATTGACAAGATGAAAAACCGTAGCAGCCTTGACGAGCCGCGCAGCAGTTAAGGAAGTCTGCTCTGAGTAATTAGTCTGAACTAATTAATGACCTGAAGGTGATGGTACAGGTGGTATTCCTACCCATGCTTAAGGTCAGCAGTAGTCCCGCTAAACACACACCGAAACTACGACGTTGATACAACGTTCGAACAAGTTTTAACACCTAACCAGTTATAACAACCAATATAGCAAGTTGTAACAACGTTCTAATACGTCATAAACATAAACACAAGATATAACAACTTTATTACAAGTTGTAACAAGCGGAAAAAAAGAGTTTCGGTTTGTGTTTCCAGGGGTTAGTCTTGTCAATGTTAATCTGTTGCAGTGAAAATGATAATTAGTAATTATAAAGTGCTAAATTGGAAGGTTATGGTGTTAGGGATTAATTGCTTAGTCTTTTTTGCTGAAAGACGAATCCTGTAAAATTATATTAGTGCTTATATTATTATTAGTTCTGGATCTCGTTCAGACTTGACTGTATTTCAAAACTTGAAAGACTTAATATATTGGCATTTAACCTTTCTACTCAATATACAGCCCGTCTTTCTGGTTTGGTAGTACTTATAGTAACGATCGGTCGGTCAAGCGGACAGCATGCTGGACTTGTGATCCTGTGGTCCTGGGTTTGATCCCAGGCGCCGGCGAGAAACAATGGGCAGAGTTTCTTTGACCCTATGCCCCTGTTACCTAGCAGTAAAATAGGTACCTGGGTGTTTGTTAGCTGTCACGGGCTGCTTCCTGGGGTTGGAGGCCTGGTCGAGGACCGGGCCGCGGGGACACTAAAGCCCCGAAATCATCTCAAGGTAACCTCAAGATAACAAGATAACGATGAGGACTATAGTACACATACCGACGTACAACGCAATTAGAAAGTAGAAATCGGTACTGTTGAATTTGGACAAACCGGAATAGATTTTTTTCTCTGTTGCAAAGACAAACCTAACCTTCCTAGGCCTAATACACGATATGAGGCCTAATATAGTTAATATGTGCGCTATACTAGGTCTAGGAATATTTGTTTTTTAGCTTCATTTTTTCAGAGTATACAAAATTCTACTATCTAATTGCTTACAACGTCAGCGTTTGTACTAAGGTGCATATAGTTCGAAACACTATTATTTAAACAGGAGGATCTTGAGGTTATCTTGATATGATTTCGGTCGGAATCTATAGCTGTAACTATAACATGTTGATCAAGGTAGGAGGAAGTAGTGTGGCGTTTGATTGATTGATTGAAGAAGATTAAGGCACCCAAAAGGTGGCACGGCCATGAATAGCCCGTAAGTGGTGGCCCTTTTGAGCCATTACCAGTATCAAGAGCTGATACTGGAGATCTGTGGAGGTGCAACTGCACCCTGCGTGACGGGAGATGTCTCCCGTGAGTGTGGCGTTGTGTCCCTGTGGTTCTAAGGGAGCCGGTCGGCCGAGCGGACAGCACGCTGGACTTGTGGTCCTGGGTTCGATCCCAGGCGCCGGCGAGAAACATTGGACAGAGTTTCTTTCACCCTATGCCCCTGTTACCTAGCAGTGGGGGGCCTCGTAGCCTGGTGGATAGCGCGCAGGATTCGTAATTCTGTGGCGCGGGTTCGATTCCCGCACGAGGCAGAAGCAAATGGGCAAAGTTTCTTTCACCCTATGCCCCTGTTACCTAGCAGTAAATAGGTACCTGGGAGTTAGTCAGCTGTCACGGGCTGCTTCCTGGGGGTGGAGGCCTGGTCGAGGACCGGGCCGCGGGGACACTAAAAGCCCCGATATCATCTCAAGATAACCTCAAGTAAAATAGGTACCTGGGTGTTAGTCAGCTGTCACAGGCTGCTTCCTGAGGGTGGAGGCCTGGTCGAGGACCGGACCGCGGGGACACTAAAAAGCCCCGAAATCATCTCAAGATGACCTCAAGATTATCTTACCATATGAGGCAGGACTTTGGAGAGCCAGTGGTCGACCTCCCTCGGGCTGTCGAGGTAGAGCGCCTTCCCCAGGGGCTCGTCCTTGAAGAAGTGGTTGCACAGAAGGTCGACTGCCGCGTCGCTGTACTCTTGTGTCAAGATCTAGAACAACAACAAACATTGGACTTAACGAGCGAGCTCACATGTTTAATTGACGGCTCACATGTTTAATTGACGGCTCACATGTTTAATTGACGGCTAACTAGCCGTACTTCCTGTTTGGAAGTGTACGAAAGTAAGGAAATGTACTTCTTTATTGTGATTTATACAGCAAATTCTGACTGGACAAATACAAATATAAATAAATCCTATCACAGCTGTTTTCACTGAATAAAACGTGAAAACAGCTGTGATAGGCAAAGTGTTTTAACACGATGTACTGAACGGGGTGAGGATAGCTTGAGCTACCTCATCCCTTTGTGTGTATTTTACCTCAATAAACTTATTTCAGTTTCAATTCAAAGTGTTTTCGACCTGGAAGAAATTGAGCAGTTGCCACTGAATTAAAGTATAGCCTCATTCATTGGGTTCCGAACCTGAATCAAGTTGGTGAAATGGCTAATTTGAATGCTATAATTAATTGGAAAACGTCGGTATAGTGCTGAAATTGGGATGGTAAGGCGAAACATCATGTATGTTTCTTCACTACCTTTTTTTTTTACCAAGGACACAGTACAACTTTATTGAAATAGCCTAATGTTTGCTCTCTTGCCGCGGTCGTACGGCCAAGCAAGAGCCTTCGCTGGTAAAGTTTGGAATTTAGCATTTTTTTATTCGAAGTAATGCAAATTGGTATCCGTTTTACATTTCCATGCAAAAGCGGGCATGGACGGGATTGTATTTGGAATATATATTGGTAGCGAGCCCTCACTGGCGAGGTGGGGCCCCCCTCTCACTGGCGAGGTGGGGCCCCCCTCTCACTGGCGAGGTGGGGGCCCCCCCCCTCACTGGCGAGGTGGGGCCCCCCCCCCTCACTGGCGAGGTGGGGGCCCCCCCTCACTGGCGAGGTGGGCCTTCCCTCACTGGTGAGGGGGGATAAGTCAGTGAGTAGAGTGGGCTTCGTTGATGGCAGCTATCTACACACTCCTGGAAGCACGCTTCATCTCACCAGTAGATTGATAGTTGAGAGGCGGGACCAAAGAGCCAAAGCTTAACCCCCGCAAGCACAACTAGGTGAGTACTTCAACATAAGCAACATATATAAAGAAATTTGTATTTAACTTCTCTGTTCATTTGTACTGAATTAAACTTAGCCTTCAACCATGTTCAGACAACCCGGCCTTCTAATAACACGTATTTTAACGTATACTCTTAAGTGCTCAATATCTCTTTAAAAAGATTAAATACAAAAGCTCTTCATTTTATAGGATTGATTTTCAAGGAGGAAGAAGATTAGAACAAGAACACTATTAAGTACCAGAGAAAATCTCAACCTTCAAACACCCAGCCAAGCTGGACTTGAATCACAAGTCAAGCCTGGCCTCAGGCCGGGCTTGGGGAGTAGGAGAACTCCCAGAACTCCATCAAGCAGATATCAACCAGGTATCAACCGGTTTGGAAGCCTCTACGCCGACGTACCCAGAGTTCAGTTCGGTTAAGATCATTGCTGGAGCCAAAACAAAGCTCTTGAGATCAAGCAACCGAAGAATTTGCCCACCAAGATGGTCACAATATCGAGACCCGTGTTGATAATCTTGGAACTCCAGCGGCTCATGTCAGGCTCCTAGGTAACTTTAACCTCAGAAATTTGAGGTGGATGATGATGGATGATGATGGATGATGATGATGATGGAGGATGATGATGATGATGCAGAAGAAACCCTCTAGACCGCAGGATAGAGCAACACGTTACCCCAGAGAACGTGAGAGTGAAAGGTTAACCCCTCAGTTAACCGAGTCAATTAAATATTGTAATATCGCAGACTTAGATCCTCATGAACAATGATAACGAGAGCTATAAATAATAATGTAATCTCGCCAGCAGTTGGTAATTAGTTAATGCATAAGTTTTCCTTCCATTAGAGGAGCTAAATATTTAAAATATGGCGTTGCTTAGTAGAAGGGACTCTGTCTTGTTCGTTATTCTCTCGTAATTGTTCTAATTTGTTTCATAATGCATCGTTAAACGAGGCGGCTGATATTGTGTGTGTGTGTGTGTGTGTGTGTGTGTGTGTGTGTGTGTGTGTGTGTGTGTGTGTGTGTGTGTGTGTGTGTATACTCGCCTATTTGTACTCACCAATTTGTGCTTGCGGGGGTTGAGCTCTGGCTCTTTGGTCCCGCCTCTCAACAGTGTGTGTGTGTGTGTGTGTGTGTGTGTGTGGGCTTCACTAATCTTTGTCTTTAAAGCTATAAATAGTGCCAAGGTGTATTGTGCACAGCTACCTTTTTCAATGAAGGTAAACATATGACAGTATGAAGTGTCTTGAGGTAACTCCAAGGGTGGAAGAGCTCACCTTGAAGACAATATTTTCGTCGTGTTTGTGGAGGACATCTGGCGGCAACTCTGGCTCGCTGGGCAGCTCTGGCTCCTCCGGTTCCTGCTGCTGGAGGAGCTGCTGCTGCTGCTGCTGCTGTGCCTCTTCCTGGCCGACATTGAGGGCCAGGGGATCCTGTTCTCCAGGGGCACTAGCCTCGCTGCCTTCCCCACTGCCACTCTCCTTCCGGCGCGTGCCCAGAGGCGCTGTAGGAAGAAAAATATAAATTATAGTATATGATAATTTTTTTTCCTTGCCAGCCAGCACTAAAAATATTTGGTGTATAATTGATACATATCTGGGAGAAATGTATGAATTTAAATGTGGTGTAAAGATGTGTAGGGCTACGTAGTGGAGCTGGGATCGGAAGTGGAGCTGGCACAGTGCCCGTACAATGAGGAGGTCATGTGTGTGAGATGACTGTGGGGCGACTTATAGATCAGTGTCCTCCTGTGACCGTAGCACCACCACAGAAAATGTACATAAACTTCCCCGAGCTGTGGGGGAAAACGAGCCTCTTGATGGGGAACTGCTTTAGAAGTAGATCTTCCACAGTCGTAACTATATAACCTGAGCTTGTAAAAGCACCTTTATCACCTTCAGTGATTAAGTGCTTAATTGCACACTAGTTTCTTTATCAGCTATCTCACCCTGTCAGGGTAAATGAGACAAATGTATGTGAATGCATGTGTGTGTATAAATGTATGTATATGTGTGTGTTTATGTATATGTATGGGTATAAAGTATATATGGAAGCTCATCAGAATTACATTTCACCTTTGTGAATGCACATTAATGACACTATGTAAAAGACACATCTAACACTATGTAGGGCATACGTAAATCAGTGTATTTATGTATTTACGTATGTAGATTAGCTTAGCATTTTAAAAGCACCGAATCACCTTCTGTGGTTGATTGTTCAATAAACCCTTGAACTATATGTTTAACACATCTCTAACCCTGTCCATGGAGGACAGAAGAAAATGTATATATGCTGGTTAGCATTGTAAATGTCTGGCCACGTCTGTGGTAGAAAAAAAAATTCGTACCACCCTAATGCCCCTGTTCACCTAGCAGTAAATAGGTACCTGGGAGTTAGACAGCTGCTACGGGCTGTTTCATGAGGGGTGTGTAACGAAAAGGAGCCCTGGTTGAGGACCGGGCCGCGGGGACGCTAAGCCTCGAATTCATTTCAAGATAACCTCAAGATAACATAACATAAAGTATTAAATGTTAGTCTTTTGCCAGTGACTTGTATTTGCTGTAGGTGAAGACAGTTCGAACATCATTAGTTACATGTTGTTTGTAATTCGTACACAAGACGGCTGCTTCTGGGTCTAATGAAGGGAACTATCAGGAGAGAGCACCAAGCCATTACGACTATATAGCACTGGGAAGGAGTCAGGATAAGGATTTGGGATGGGACGGGGGGAAAGGAATGGTGCCCACTTGTGGACGGCCGGGGATTGAACTCCGACCTGCATGAAGCGAGATCGTCTGGATTTAACGAGCAGTTGGTCGTACCTGGAGCATACCTGTAGAGGGTTTCGGGAGTTCTTCTACTCCCCGAGCCCGGCCTGGGGCCAGGCTCGACTTGTGGTAACTTGATCTAACAGGCTGTTGCTTGGAGCAGCCTGCAGGCCATTGTCTGAGGATGAGACGCTTTATGTGGCAGAATATTTGTAATCCAGTTGGGTTTTTAGAAGAAGCCAGAAATTATACTCTGGAAATTAGCTTCACTCATAACAGTTCAGACTGTTTAACACGCTTCCACTACACATAAGGGACATAACTGGCCGACCCCTCACAGTGTTCAAGAGAGAACTATCAACATCAGAGGCCCGAGACTGTTCAACACGCTTCCACTACACATAAGGGACATAACTGGCCGACCCCTCACAGTGTTCAAGAGAGAACTATCAACATCAGAGGCCCGAGACTGTTCAACACGCTTCCACTACACATAAGGGGCATAACTGGCCGACCCCTCACAGTGTTCAAGAGAGAACTATCAACATCAGAGGCCCGAGACTGTTCAACACGCTTCCACTACACATAAGGGACATAACTGGCCGACCCCTCACAGTGTTCAAGAGAGAACTATCAACATCAGAGGCCCGAGACTGTTCAACACGCTTCCACTACACATAAGGGACATAACTGGCCGACCCCTCACAGTGTTCAAGAGAGAACTATCAACATCAGAGGCCCGAGACTGTTCAACACGCTTCCACTACACATAAGGGACATAACTGGCCGACCCCTCGCAGTGTTCAAGAGAGAACTATCAACATCAGAGGCCCGAGACTGTTCAACACGCTTCCACTACACATAAGGGACATAACTGGCCGACCCCTCACAGTGTTCAAGAGAGAACTATCAACATCAGAGGCCCGAGACTGTTCAACACGCTTCCACTACACAAGGGGCATAACTGGCCGACCCCTCGCAGTGTTCAAGAGAGAACTGGATAAGCACCTCCAAAGGATACCTGGTCAACCAGGCTGTGACTCATACGTCAGGCTGCGAGCAGCCGCGTCCAACAGCTTGGTTGATCAGTCCAGCAACCAGGTGGCCTGGTCGACGACCGGGCCGCGGGGACGCTAAGCCCCGAAGCACCTCAAGGTAACCTCAAGGTAACCTCAAGGTAAGGTAACCAGTCGACACTAAACAGCGCTACCTTGTCAGCGGGGCTGGAATACATGGCCTGGGTCGCTGAGCCAAAGCGGTAACCTGTCTTAATTTTTTTGTCATGAAAAGTTTTATATATTGACTGTAATGTCAAATCATTTCCTTTTAAAATTTCATTCGCCATATTTTTCCAAGTGCAAAATATTTTATAAACATGCGCCTTGGACTTTCAGAAGTCAATACACACTCTAAATTTATTTTTAATATATATTCCATATTAATAATAAGCGAGTCAAAACAGTTTGCTAATGTTCATTCTCGAAAATCATAAATTGTGTAAAGAAATGGAAGGGAAAGATGATAATGAGTGCCGGAGAACTTGGGTGAAGTTTATGACTGGGAACAGACCAGGGTGAAGCTAGGATGGTGCCAGGGTGGCGCCAGGATGTGGTGCCAGGGTGTGGCGCCAGGGTGGAGCCAGGTTGGTGCCAGGGTGGTGCCAGGGTGGAGCTAGGATGTGGTGCCAGGGTGTGGCACCAGGGTGGAGCCAGGGTGGAGCCAGGATGTGGTGCCAGGGTGTGGCACCAGGGTGGAGCCAGGGTGGTGCCAGGGTGAAGCTAGGGTGGTGCCAGGGTGGAGCCAGGGTGTGGCACCAGGGTGTGGCACCAGGGTGTGGCACCAGGATGGAGCCAACCAGGCCTGGCTCCACAGATAATGAAACGCTCCTGTCCCTATCTGACATTGGAGACGGGCCTGAAGATCACCTGTCATCCGTTGTCACGGCATAATCGAATTAGCAACGCATATTATACAAGGCCTTAGCTGCTTCCGAAGCTCTGAATTACTCGTTATTGGAGTGGGGTTGAAAGTTCCTCCAAGATGTTTGCGAATGCAGGAAAAGCAACCTAAGTGGATGTAAGACAAGCCGGTCATACCATACCTCTCCTTCTCCCTGATCAACCAGGCTGTGACTCATACGTCAGGCTGCGAGCAGCCGCGTCCAACAGCCTGGTTGATCAGTCCAGCAACCAGGAGGCCTGGTCGACGACCGGGCCGCGGGGACGCTAAGCCCCGGAAGCACCTCAAGGTAACCTCAAGGTAACCTCCCCCTCGGAATGAGATATCAATGCCACGCAAGATAGCGATGCGCAGTTAGTGTTCCTTCCTGATTGGGTAATTAGTGCTGGGATGTCACGCACGATGGTGGTTAGAGGAAAGCAGTGCACGAAATGTTAAGCATTGGGGAACCGGTCGGCCGAGCGGACAGCACGCTGGACTTGTGATCCTGTGGTCCTGGGTTCGATCCCAGGCGCCGGGGAGAAACAATGGGCAGAGTTTCTTTCACCCTATGCCCCTGTTACCTAGCAGTAAAATAGGTACCTGGGTGTTAGTCAGTTGTCACGGGCTGCTTCCTGGGGGTGGAGGCCTGGTCGAGGACCGGGCCGCGGGGACACTAAAGCCCCGAAATCATCTCAAGATAACCTCAAGATTGTGAGGAAGGTGAGCTTGAAGCGAGAGGGGTGAACTTGAAGAGCCTTCAAATATACCTATAAGAATTCCTTAAGTATGTTGTATACCATATACGTTAGGCAAGTTGTTTGAATATTCGGCGTCAGCATAGAACACCTTGAGGTTATCTTTTTGAGATGATTTCGGGGCTTAGTGTTCCCGCGGCCCGGTCTTCGACCAGGCCTCCACCCCCAGGAAGCAGCCCGTAGCAGCTGTAAGTCTGCAGCTGTCTTCCCTCTCTCCCTCCCTCCCTCCCTCCCTCCCTCCCTCCCTCCCTCCCTCCCTCCCTCTCCCTCCCTCTCCCTCCCTCCCCCCTCCCTCCCTCCCGTCCCTGTTTCTCTCTCTCCCTCGCTCCCTCCCGTCCCTCTCTCCCTGCCTCCCTCTCCCTCCCCCTCCCTCCCTCCCCCTCCCTCCCTCCCTCCCACACAGGTAATATTATTTACAAGTGGTGGCTGACAGCGTCGAGGAAGGAGGAACTAATTTAGGCTCAGGTGGTTTAATAAAGGTGATGGTCTTTGGGGGTAATAGACTCAAGATTTACTTCCCTTAAATACTGTATTGTTTATGGGAGGGAAGACTCGATCGCGTGTGAAAGAGAAGTTGCAGGTGTAGGAGAGTGTGACGACCACCAGCTGGGGGAGACCAGCACCAGCTGGGGGAGACCAGCACCAGCTGGGGGAGGACACTATAGGAGAGAGGACGGGACCAGCACCAGCTGGGACAGGACACTATAGGAGAGAGGACGGGACCACCACCAGCTGGGACAGGACACTATAGGAGAGAGGACGGGACCACCACCAGCTGGGACAGGACACTGCAGGAGAGAGGACGGGACCACCACCAGCTGGGGGAGGACACTATAGGAGAGAGGACGGGACCACCACCAGCTGGGGGAGGACACTATAGGAGAGAGGACGGGACCACCACCAGCTGGGACAGGACACTATAGGAGAGAGGGCGGGACCACCACCAGCTGGGACAGGACACTATAGGAGAGAGGACGGGACCACCACCAGCTGGGGGAGGACACTATAGGAGAGAGGACGGGACCACCACCAGCTGG